TATATATAGCCTTTTCCCTCCCTTGAAATGTATTATGAAAAATGATTTATACAGTATTATCTCACAATTGAATCTCATAATACATATCAACTCCTTTTATTTGGTTAGGTAAGTGAATCAATATGTATTTACGCTTTTAATGACACATAATTATTGTAAAATTTTATTATGAGATAAGATTATATCTATATTAACTCAGATATATTATAACATAACTAATTAAATATGTAAAGTTTAGTTTTCTTTGTTATATACTAGTATTATCTATCCTTACTTCTTCTCTTTAATATGCTATTGTCCTTGTAAAGATAGTCCTAGGAATATTTTTTCCAATCTTAAGCACCTAAAACAATAAAATCAGGATTCCTGGCTCACCCAAAAACTAAACATACATATTTATCTGATTTAAAGGATAATAAAGTAGACTTATACTTTTTCTCATTACATAAAGGGTTTCACCATCATAGGTATCTACTGAACCAGTTAACAAAGATGCAAACACTAGAGTAGGTAAATCTTCTGATGCAACATGCCCATATTTTATCAGGGAGAGATGTCTATGTTTTACGTAATTAATTCAGTCTCAAACATTACTCTTTATATAAACTCCTTCTTTGTATATGTCCTAGCAACCACAAGTTGTCAATCCAATTGTTAATTAATCCAATATCAGCAAAAATGAGAACCATTTTTCTCATTTATTTCACTGCTTTCATTGGTATTTTACTTGCTTGTTCTGCATTTGAAAGAAGGCATTTACCAGGTAAAGGTAGGCAATTCTGCTTTAAGTGGTTATTATTGTTGCCTTTTCTTTTCCTTTATCCCTTTTTTCCGCTTGAGAAAGGTTAAAACTAATTATTCTCATGTTACTTTCACGATCAGAGATTGTGCTTTATTCTGAAAACATAAGGAGCTCATCTGTGAACACAGAAGATAGATAATGCAACTCCAAATCCTTCGCTGCCTCCTCCAAAAGTATCACCTCCAAATCATCCAGCAGCATAATCAGAAAACATAAGGAGCTCATTTGTGAACACAGAAGATAATGCAAAGCCTAATCCTTAGCCACCTCCTCTCCAAAAGTATCACCTCCAACTTATCGACTAGCATATTCCTTGTATTCGAATCCTTACACTGCTTCTGCCTAAAATTAATTTCTAAATTTGAATCCATCGATGTCCAAGCTAGGAAAGAACAAATAAAGAGACTGATAATATGGTGTGAAAGATCAAATAAAGGGAATGATAATAAGATGTGTACTTTCTGTGGTTATCGAATGTATAATTTGTTGAATGTATGGTTATTGAATGTGTGATGTGTACTTGCTATGGTTATTGAATGTATAATGTGTACTTGTTATGGTTATTGAATG